GGGAAAGAGGTATATTCTCATGGTATTTAAACAATTTTACTTTTAAGATCTGTTTCCTGTCTTACTTAGAGGTAACACACTGGGATTTGGCAGGTTCCACTGCTGAGTAAATGCCTTTCTGATAGATGTGGAGGATTTCCCACCTCATTTCAGGAACTAATTCAGTCCAATCTTTTCTGGAGCTGTTCCATTTTCTTCTTACGTTTATAGGTTTTGAGTTAGAAACTGTGAAGAGCAATCTCCGGATCCTTTTTGATAATGCTATTAAGAAGCGTTTAATGACAGACAGAAGGATTGGCTGCCTTTTATCAGGTAAACTCAGTTTAAAAAATTAATTATATCTATTGAATAGTTTGTTTAAGTGAAGCGATTGGTAGTAGCCATCCTTCTGGTTTTGACTATAAAATATTATCTATATGATTTTAAATTTTTTTCGTTATACAATGAAAATGGGTTTTTGTAAGCTGTATTTAATATTTATACCATAGAGCAACTCAGAGTTACACTACGGCTATATTCTTGGTGTAAGAGTGAGCTAGTAAAGATTCTGTAGACTTTGTGTGTGTATGTGTGTGTGTGTTTTGAGAGATTTTTGCGATAGGGCGCATATGTGTTCCAGAGAGAGAGAATCACTCCCCAGGGGGATGGCTGTACTGCAGTTCCATCTCCTCCATTCTCTTCTCAGGATTTTGGGCATGCACCTAAATGTGCTCAGTATGAGTTTCACACCACCTCGAACTGCCGTTGACCACATGGGAGTCCAGCCCCTTAGCTAGCCCTGGGTATGGTGATTTTTAGGTAATTCAAACATTGTTACCATTATCAAAGTTGTATATTTTTCTGTTGAGTTGATTTTAGTTTACAAAACTTGGGAAGTTTTAAATGGTAAAATTATAATGTTATGGCTTAAAGGGAATGTAAGTCACATCTGTCCCCATTTTCTGCAAGAGCGTAATGAATATATGCCTTGTTTGTAGGGGGTTTGGACTCTAGCTTGGTTGCTGCCACTCTGTTAAAGCAGCTAAAAGAGGCCCAGGTACAGTATCCTCTCCAGACGTTCGCAATTGGGATGGAAGACAGCCCTGATTTACTGGCGGCCAGGAAGGTAAGATGTTTCCTCTGCCTGTTATATAGTAGGATAAGACTTGTTATTAGAATGAAAATTGGATCACTAATTAATGATTCTACTTCTGTGCTGTATTGACTCAGGTAATTGTTTTAACTTATATACTAAATAGAGTAATGTGCAGCCCAACCTAAATAGCACATTTGGTTGCTAACTGAACTGTAGTACTGGAAGCCATATGCCTGATCATGATTCAGATTCCCAGTTGGGCCTGAAAACATGTCAAGTGCATGCCTAACATCCTGAGGAGCTAAAGGGCTGGGGAAAAAGGTTTGTGAGGTGTGTCTGCATATGCTCTGTATAATGAATTTTAAAAAAGTGATGAAATGAGTTTTGAATATCCACTATGTTCTGTTGTATACTCTGGGTGCATTTATTTACCATGACCCATACAGTCTTCATCAAGACCTTGTGTCCTTTTGAAAGTAAGGCCATAATGTGATGGTGAAGACAGCAAGCAATGGAGCTTGATTATTGGTTTCAAATCTGGCTCTGGAAGTCCTCACTTACATAATAGGACTAACAGTGTCTACTCCAGGCTAGCTATGAGGTGAAATGATATAGTTCACATAAAGTAAGTAGCATAGAACCTAGCATCTGATAAATATTTTGTGACTGTTAGCTGCTATTATTTTTTGTTTTCATAAAGCATCATGTTTGGAACTGTGGGCAGAGGAGACCTTGTACATATTCAGTGTGCAGACCTGGTTCCTATTTTGGAGAACTTGCATAGAATGAATGAGGAAAGGACTAGAGATCAGTCCTGAGGCAAATTGACTGACAGTGAGAGAATCCCAAACGGCCAAAGGAAGTAGAATGAGGGCAGAGTCTACCATCTAGGAAGAGTAGTCTGGATGTAAAATTAAGCATGACAGAAGGGTCAGTGAGAGACCAAGTTTAGAATGGGACTTGGTTGGGCTAGAGAGTTGAGGTAGGTTAGGAAAATTGGTGGGGAAAGATGGGTGTAGTTAGGAACTTCTTGACTGTTAGGTTGAAGTCTTAGACTGAATGAGCCAATGAGCGACCTACCTCTTATCTGCTGAATAGAGGGCAGAGAGATGGCCAGACAAGGAGACCTGGCCAGGTGGGGCTTTATCAAGTGAACTGAAGAATCCTTTCCCTTGTTTTCCTTTTTCGTTTTTCTCTACCCTTAGTTGATAGTGCTTTGTGAACTACTGTCATGTTTCATTTTTAAGGGCTTCTCTTTTCCTTAAATAACAAGTACATGGGTATTTCTTTGTATAATGAGGTGGCAAATCATATCGGAAGTGAACATCATGAAGTCCTCTTTAACTCTGAGGAAGGCATTCAGGTCCTGGATGAAGTCATATTTTCCTTGGAAACTTACGACATTACAACAGTTCGTGCTTCAGTAGGTAAGGTATTTTATGATACTAAAAAAGCCTTCTTTAATATTGAAAAAGTATAAGGTTTAAAAAACATTATTTTAAGCCACAGTTGAGAAAAACATTCAAGAAAAATGAATACAGGAGGCAGGTGGTGGGGCAGCAGTAATGCAGCTGGGCTCACATGGGAAAGGCTCTGGGTTTACATCAGGGACCTCCCTGTGCGTGTCCAGCACTTGTGTGTGCATGCCCGGGACCTAGGTGGCTAAGGCTAGGAGTGGATTGCAGGATACAGACCCTGTTGGGCATGCCCGTCTGTCTCTCCCCTCATTCTCGTGAAGAAATAAACATACAAAAAAAGAAAAAGTCAATAAAATTCCTATTTACTAATTGGTTAAAAGCATTTACAGTTGTCCTTGAATCTCTTGGAGTGAAGGGAACTATAAATGCATAGTCCAACCTCCCCAGTTCTAGTGTATGACTGTTTATATTTCCTTAGAGAGTGGATATATATGTTCTGTCCCCTTCTTCCCCTCCTCCCCCTAGTTTCTCTATATAGAGTTTCTTGGACTTTCCTCTATATAAAAATGAAGAAATAGGTTCATGTTGTAATGCATTTTCTCTAAGGAGTATTTATTTTTGGATGTATTTTGGTAACTATTTCATTACACAACTTATCAATCACTAGATCTTACTGCCCTGACACCACCACCAGTTTTATTCCATGGAAACATACTGAGATGAGAAATGTGCCTCAAATCAGACTGATCCATTGTTGAGTTTCTAATAAGCGGCTAGCTAAGATCTGCCTCTCTTTGAAGACACTTTCCTTGGAAGGCAAAAGAATCTTAGATAATATGGTGATTTAGAACCCTCCAAAGTATCACAGTAAATAAAAGATACACAAGCTTGCCTAGAGCAGTGGTTAAGTGCTGTGCATTAGGGACTGTATCTCACAAAGCTGGTTGTAGTTTGCATCCCAGCCCTGGTATGTGACCGTGCCTGCCCCAAATCCTGATAGGATAAAGAAATGGAGGGGAAAAGGCTTTCAGCATATTCACACTAAATTGGGCTCTCTCTTTCTTTTTCTCTCTGACGAGCACACAAACCTTCTGGCAATTAAAAAAAAAAAAAAGATTTACAATTTATCTGTGTTGTTTACATTTCTTGGGGGTGGGGTGGGATTAGGAAAAAAAAATCATCTAAAAAGTTTCCGTGTGTGTGTGTGTGTGTGTGTGTGTGTGTGTGGGTGTGTGTGTTAGATGGGGGTATTGGGAGGATGAAAATCTGCAGCCTCTTGGGGGTGGGGGTGGATAAGGAAAACAAAATCATCTAAAAAGTTTCTGTGTGTGTGTGTGTGTGTGTGTGTGTGTGTGTGTGTGTGTGTGTGTGTGTGATAATAAAAAGGAGAAAAACAGTGCTTTAGGGAGAAGTGGAGCAGTTCCAAGCAGGCCTGTTTTAATAATTTAAATAGTTTAGATAACTATATATGACATTTGGTAAGTGGGGAGTGACAAAGGAAGTAAAAACAACAAAATTTAAAGTATGAACTCAGTATTATTTTTGTGTAGTAATACCATTATGAAAAACAGTGGTTTTTAGATATGATTTTAGTTTTAACAAAATTTCAAGATGGACATTCTTGGTCTAAAAACATTAGTTTTGTTTTTGTTTTTAATTTAACAGAGGCTGTATATGTTCATTGGAGAGAGAGAGAGAAAGAGAGAGAAAGTGAAAAAGCATCCCTGTGGGGGATAGGCACATTGTAATCCCTTTTCTTCCATCTCTCTCCTTTCAGGATTTTGGGCATGTACACACATGCACCCAGCATGTTTTTTAAGTGCTGGGTCGGAGACTCAAACTGCATTAGTCGGCCATGTGGGATCCAGCCACTTTAACCTCCACACCACCAGCTGGCCCAAAATATTATAATCTTTAAATTTGTTTATGAAATTATAGGATAGTTCTGGGCTATTTAATTACAACAGTGTAACTTTTGGATTAAGTATATATGACTGGCTTATAAGTATAGTAAGCACAGTATTTTGGAAACTCATATTAATATGAAGTCCAATATAGTAAAGCTTGCAGTTCTTTCCAAAAGCTAAATAAAAGGCATTTTTGATGGAGGCTATGACATTAACATTGATTTCTCTTATTTAAGGTATGTATTTAATTTCCAAGTATATTAGGAAGAACACAGATAGTGTGGTGATCTTCTCTGGAGAGGGATCAGATGAACTTACACAGGGTTACATCTATTTTCATAAGGTAAGCACTCTGAAGTGGAGGGATATCTGTGCTGTAGCAAGAATAGTACAAGTTCTTTGGCTACGTATTCTGTATGTCTGTCCTCTAGTGTAATGGTAACATTTTTGAGTATCTAGTGAGTTTCTGTGAGGAAATCTGGCAGCGTCTCCTTTGCATTTCTTTGGGGGAAAAAGTTTTAATAGTGTCAGATAATTTTAATTCTTTAAAACTAGTTAAAATGGAACATCTCTGGGACCAGCAGGTGGTGTGGTGGTTAAGGGTGCTGGACTCCCACATAGCCAACAGCAGTTCGAGTCCTGAACCTAGGGGCTTGTTTTCTCCCTTTCTCTCTCTCTGTTCCTCTCTGGTCAAATTAAAAATAAATTAATAAATAAAGTTAAATAAAATAATTATTTTTTAAAAATGGAACATTTCTTCACTGCCATTTAATTTTTCTGTGGAATTATGGGTTTCTGTGTGTGTGTGTGTGTGTGTGTGTGTGTGTGTGTGTGTGTGTGTGTGATAATAAAAAGGAGAAAAACAGTGCTTTAGGGAGAAGTGGAGCAGTTCCAAGCAGGCCTGTTTTAATAATTTAAATAGTTTATATAACTATATATGACATTTGGTAAGTGGGGAGTGACAAAGGAAGTAAAAACAACAAAATTTAAAGTATGAACTCAGTATTATTTTTGTGTAGTAATACCATTATGAAAAACAGTGGTTTTTAGATATGATTTTAGTTTTAACAAAATTTCAAGATGGACATTCTTGGTCTAAAAACATTAGTTTTGTTTTTGTTTTTAATTTAACAGAGGCTGTATATGTTCATTGGAGAGAGAGAGAGAAAGAGAGAGAAAGTGAAAAAGCATCCCTGTGGGGGATAGGCACATTGTAATCCCTTTTCTTCCATCTCTCTCCTTTCAGGATTTTGGGCATGTACACACATGCACCCAGCATGTTTTTTAAGTGCTGGGTCGGAGACTCAAACTGCATTAGTCGGCCATGTGGGATCCAGCCACTTTAACCTCCACACCACCAGCTGGCCCAAAATATTATAATCTTTAAATTTGTTTATGAAATTATAGGATAGTTCTGGGCTATTTAATTACAACAGTGTAACTTTTGGATTAAGTATATATGACTGGCTTATAAGTATAGTAAGCACAGTATTTTGGAAACTCATATTAATATGAAGTCCAATATAGTAAAGCTTGCAGTTCTTTCCAAAAGCTAAATAAAAGGCATTTTTGATGGAGGCTATGACATTAACATTGATTTCTCTTATTTAAGGTATGTATTTAATTTCCAAGTATATTAGGAAGAACACAGATAGTGTGGTGATCTTCTCTGGAGAGGGATCAGATGAACTTACACAGGGTTACATCTATTTTCATAAGGTAAGCACTCTGAAGTGGAGGGATATCTGTGCTGTAGCAAGAATAGTACAAGTTCTTTGGCTACGTATTCTGTATGTCTGTCCTCTAGTGTAATGGTAACATTTTTGAGTATCTAGTGAGTTTCTGTGAGGAAATCTGGCAGCGTCTCCTTTGCATTTCTTTGGGGGAAAAAGTTTTAATAGTGTCAGATAATTTTAATTCTTTAAAACTAGTTAAAATGGAACATCTCTGGGACCAGCAGGTGGTGTGGTGGTTAAGGGTGCTGGACTCCCACATAGCCAACAGCAGTTCGAGTCCTGAACCTAGGGGCTTGTTTTCTCCCTTTCTCTCTCTCTGTTCCTCTCTGGTCAAATTAAAAATAAATTAATAAATAAAGTTAAATAAAATAATTATTTTTTAAAAATGGAACATTTCTTCACTGCCATTTAATTTTTCTGTGGAATTATGGCTGGTGCATGGTTGTTCATTATTTGTTCCGGCGCTCACTGTTCTGGTGGGAGGGGAGGTATGTTTCAGAAAACATGGCTTGCTTTTCTTTGGTCATTTACTCCCTTCCTCAACTAAGCTTTTTGTCTCACCCACCTTTAATGTTGAACTGTAAGAAAAAGGGAGAAGTAAAACCTGTTTTGTATGTCAAAAGCAGAGCTCTTGTTGGTTTTAGAACTTAAGCTATTTTGTTTGTCAAATAGGCTCCTTCTCCTGACAAGGCTGAAGAGGAGAGTGAGAGGCTTCTGAAGGAGCTCTACTTGTTCGACGTTCTCCGTGCAGATCGAACTACTGCTGCCCATGGGTAACTCAGTATTTTAAGAAGCAATTATAAAAAATAATTTAAAAATATACTGTGGCGCATTTTCTCTCCTTTTCAGTTGGCTATATGTGGCCAAGTCTGATTTTATAGAGAAAATGCACCTCGTCATTGATTTGTTCTTCCCAAAATTAGGCTAAGTTAAAAGTGCTATTGTGGTTATGGTGTGAGGTCTTTTTCTATAGATCATTGTAGGGAGAATTTCCATTTTTAAAGAGAGCAGTGCTCTACTAACATGAGGGCGGCCCAAAGAGATTACTGTAGCTATGTGTAAGTCTTTTAAAGATAAGTAAAGTTATTAACTCCATGTAACAAGTAGGGAGCTACCTGCCTGTTTTAGCTGCAGTGACCCTGAAGATAGAGCATTGAAAATGCAAGGTGGTTTGTTTAGACTATTAAACCCCGTTTCCTTACTATTTCTGGTTGGATAAAGTTTTCCGCATTTGGGGACCAGTAGGTGGTATAGTGAAGGTGCTGGACTCCCACGTGGCTGACTGTGGTTTAAGTTCTGGACCAAGCGGATTAAAACTCATGCTGGGCATGCCTGCGCATGTGGGCTCAAAATTGTGACAGGAGAAGGGATTACAGCATAGCCATCCTCCCTGGGGTGTGATTTCTCACTTTCTGTCTCTGTCTTTGTCTGTCTGGCGAGTGTACACGCCCTATAGCAAAAATCACTTAAAAAAAAGAAGTTTTTGGTGTTTAAGCTGGTCATGTTGGTGAATTGAATTGTTTCTTGAGATATGTATTTTAACTGTTCATAGAAAGGAAAATAAAAGTAATAGTCTCAAATAGTTTTACTTTCTAGGTGAGATCATTGGTGTTTTGAATGCTTTTGCATCCATTGGAGTAGGGCATTCGTTAGGAGTTGGGAAAAATGACTTTGTAGTCTCAGTGTTACTCATCAGAAAACTGAATCAGATTGAAATTGATACTCACAGTCACTAAATACCCATCTTGATTTAGATTTGTTTCCTCTTTTCTCCTTTAAGCCTTGAACTGAGAGTCCCATTCCTGGATCATCGATTTTCTTCCTATTACTTGTCTCTGCCACCAGAAATGAGGGTTCCAAAGGTAGGAAAATTAACTCAAGGTATTGGATTGTTGGAAAAGTCACGAAGCATTAATGCATAGAAAAATAGAAAAAATACATTATAACTTTTCCAACAACCCAATAAAAACTGTCCATCATTATCAGTTTACACAATATTTATTACTTTCACTGATGATCCTTTTGTTTTCATGTCAGAATGGAATAGAAAAACATCTCCTGAGAGAGACATTTGAGGACTCTAATCTGATACCCAAAGAGATTCTCTGGCGACCAAAAGAAGCCTTCAGTGATGGAATTACTTCAGTTAAGAATTCCTGGTTTAAGATTTTACAAGAATATGTTGAACACCAGGTATAATGTCTTTGAAAACATTGTCTCTGCAGTGTAGCTGCAGAGCTGTAACTGTTTCATTTGTGTTTCCTTTGAACATTTTTTGTCTGTAGGAGAGATTGACAGTTCTTCCAAACAACATTTCTTTTATAAGAATTAAGTAGCATATAGGGTTATAAAATACTATCTAGTTTTAAAAGAGCATGAAGTTACTAATCATCACTTTCATTGAACATAGTTTTGATCACTTGCTATGGGCCAGACATTATTAGTCACAAATAACTAAGACAGTCAAGAGTCATGAAGTGTAGGGGCCAGCAGGTAAAGTGATGATTAAGGTACTGGACTCCCACATGGCTGATTGGTTCGAGTCCTGGACCTGGCGGCTTGCTATCTCTCTTTGTTTCTCTGGTGAGTACATGTGCCCTATAGTAAATTAAAGTAATAATACTAATATAATAATACAATGAAATAATTCTTTGAAAAAATAAATACACACACACACATACATATATATATACACACACATATACATACACACTTTAGAATAAATTGTGGGCTCATGTCAGAGCTTAGTTGTTAAAGAAGCTGAATTCCACACGGCCCAATCATGACCTTGGAAGCTTGAAAAACACACTGGGGGGGCCAGTAGGTTGCATGGTGGTTAAGGTGCTGGACTCCCACATGGCTGACTGGCTTGAGTCTTAGACCTGGAAGCTTGACAATCATGCTGGAAATATGTACTCAAAATCCCAGCCAGGAGGAGAATGGAGGAGAAGGGATTGCAGCATGGCCATCCATCTGGGTGGTAATTTCTCACTTTCCCTCTCACTGTCTCTCTGTTTCTCTCTGACCAGTGCATGTACTCTATGGCAAAAACCAAAATAAAATAAAGGACATAAAAGGAAACACACTTGGGCACATGAGCATGCCCCAGATTCCAACAGCATGGATAAATGGAGCGAAAGGGATTGTAGGAGCATGATTACACTCCATTGGGAATTCTTCCTCCTCCTTTCTCTGTTTCTCATTGGCAAATGCTTGTGCCCTCTGGTGATTAAAAAAAAGAAAAAAAAAAAGTCATTGCAGCTATGAATATCAGGGATATTTCAGCATTTTCTAAGTGATGGATCATTCAAAGGGTCTCTAATACAATTTACAGTTGTGTCTTTTGTTAGCTTTTAGTTTTGTGAAGTCAGATCAAATATAAGTATTTTCACGCCATTTAAAAACCGTTTTGTTCTTATCTTCTTCCAGGTTGATGATGCAATGATGGCAGCTGCAGCCCAGAAATTTCCCTTCAATACTCCTAAAACTAAGGAAGGCTATTACTACCGTCAGATCTTTGAACGCCACTACCCAGGCCGAGCTGACTGGCTGACCCACTACTGGATGCCCAAGTGGATAAATGCCACGGACCCTTCTGCCCGTACCCTGACCCATTATAAGTCAGCTGCCAAGGCTTAGGTGCCTTCTAAGCTGTGGAGTTAAAGTGAATGTTTCTATTGCTGCAAAGTGCAGGGAGACTGGGGCCAAGTAGACAAGCCGTGAGGCTTACTTGGATGTGAAACAATAAAAAGTCTTACATCTAAAATGTGGCTATAGTCATTTTATATCCATACAGTCTTTTCATTAGAGGTATTAGAAATTGAGTAGCTTTGACTGTATCGTCGTAAGTTGGAGGGTGAGCTAGGAAAAGGGAAAAATCTCTTGTAAGAATTCACAGCACTTTCCGGGCAGAGCTGCTCTGAGCCTCTTGCACATATGTCCTTCCAGTCCTTGCCTCGTCTTCTCCTATGATTTCTCTGTCGTAGTTCTGCCTGGTAACGGCTGCTGTGCAGACTCTGGAGACTCAGATTCTTTGTAGGAGTTCATGACACTTCTATTTTGTAAGCTAATTTTATGTTGAGCCAGTGTCTCCTCTGGAGACTGTTGTATTGGAGTAGAGATCAAACTTAGGCTTGGCTGTCCTCTGTTGGAATTGTTCAGCTTTGCCCTTGTAGTGCAAAAGGAGTGGCATAGACGGTATGTTACAGATTTTGGAAAGGGAACTGCTGGTGCACAGGTAACTGCAAGAATGCTTGAATGGGCAAAGTGATGAGGCAAGAATTTACTTGGTAAATTGAAAGTAGGGCTTGTTTAAGGCCTTTACCTGCGGTTGTAAAATACCTTCAGGAAGTTGAGGAAATGTTATTAATATCAGGTGACTTTTAACAATTATCTTGTGTTTGTAGGAACTTGAATTGCTTAAACATCATGATTTGATTCTAGGCCTATCTATTCCTGGTAAAGCCTCACCCAGCCAAGATAAGTGGCTTCAAGAATGCTTTGAAAATGGGAAACTTGATTGATGCTGATTATACAATCTACCTTGCAAGATGAAAGTTTGCCATAAACCACAAACTTCCAGTTTCCCCGGGATTGGGGTTTGGCTTTAGATTTTTAATTTTAGAGATCTGACATATTTTGATTCCAGCCAGAAAAGAGTAGAGGTAATTAAGCCAATTTTATAGCAGCAAACTCAGTTCTATTGACCAATCAATAACAATAGTATTTAGTTAGGATTTCAAATTACACATGAGACTTACCTAAGGTTCTTGGCACATGGTTTGAAGATATCCTTTTCCTTTGTAACTTAAAAATAGTAGAAACTTGGAAGAAATGCTCACCACTGTGGTCATGTACACGTGGCTCAACAGCTTACGTATTTGCCAAGCCTGTTTCCCTAGATCATTCTGGTATTGGTAGGTCAGGGCCAAGGAGGCACCTGGTATCTAACCCACACAGCACTGTTAACAAACAATCCAGTCCTTTCAGGTGTCACTGAATGATTATCGGCCAGTATCCTCTGTTTTCCAACCTTGTCTGGGCATCCTAGTGAGCTGCCCTTTAGATGTTTATTTCATTTGCCTTAGTGTCTGTTCTACAAAAGTTAGTGTGTAGTTTGACAGAATTATATGCCTCTTTTTAAAAGTGAAAACTAAAAATCACCTGCTTTTAAGTGTTTTCTTTTTTTTTAAAAAACATTTTCTTGCAAATTTCCTACTATAAAGACACAATTGTGCTATGCAGGTAGCTTATCTTGGTTAACACAAAACCTCAAAGCTTCTTAAGTTCTTTTTACAAGGAAAACATAGAAAGGAAATAATCCTGAGCCTATGATCACGCAGCCTCCAAAGGATTATGCCCCATGCTTTGTGGGAAATTTGTTTGTATATGTATATCTTGTTGACGCCAGAGTCAGAGCATGTGCCATCATTCTTGCTTTTGCTTTAGTTTGGTCTGGAATCTATAACAGGGATCTTTGGAGTGGGTCCCCATAATGGGGAAAAGCTTACTGGGAGGAAACAGAGTGGAAGGTGGGTGAGGATATGGCTCCAGACCTGTGCCGTGGATACATCATTAATATTAAGCCGTTGGGGCCAGCAGGTGGTGTGGTGGTTAAGACGCTGGAATTCCCACATGGCTGCCCATGGTTTGAGTCCCGGACCTGGTGGCTTGCTTTCTCACTTTTCCTCTCTCTCTCTGTCTTTCTCTGGCAAAACTCATGTGAAATCATAATAATAATTTTAAAAAGTATATTAAGCCCATACTTGTAAACTGTTCTGAGTACATTACGGTGTTAACTAATTTTTTTTTTTTTTTAAATTGCCAGAAGGTGCATGCACTTGCCAGAGAGAGGAGAGAGAAGGAGGGAGAGGGAGAAAGCACACCCTAATAGGATGTGGTCACGCTGCAATCCCTTCTCCATTTCCCCCTTCTGTTGTGATTTGAGGCATGCATGCATAGGCATTTGACATATATTCAGGCCTCTCGGGCCAGGATTTGAACTGCCATGGACCATGTGGGATCCAGCTCACTTAACCACTAGGCCACGGAGCTGACCCAACTCATTCTATCTTAACTGAGGAAGTGTGAAGAAGCGTGACTTCACTTTTTTCTTTTTTTTAATTTGCTGTAGGGTGTGTACACTCACTAGGGTGAGAGAGGGAAAGTGAGAAATCACCCTCCAGGAAGGATGGTCATGCTACAGTCCCTTCTCTGTTCTGCTCTCAGATTTGGGGAATGTACACTTACATGCCCAGTATGTTTTTGAAGCTGTTGGTTCTAGAACTCTAACTCTACAGTTGGCCATGTGGGATCCAGCCACCTTAACCACCATGCCACCTGGCTGCCTCTAGATTTCACTTTCTTAAGGTACCACAAGCCATATTCTTGGTTTCACATATTCTTCCAAAGCCTTGCTGCTTTAAAGAAGAAATCTTACCTTCTATTTTCTTTAGCCTGGGCCAGATTTTATAATTGCCTTAACTAGTAGAAGACAGTGGGAGAGATATTGTGTTGTTTCTGAGGGTAGGTCTTCAATGTTGATTGGCTTCTACCTTTGTTTTTTTAGAGAGATTTTTGCTATAGGGTGTGTGTGCTCACCAGAGAGAGACAGAGAGACAGAAAGTGAGAAATTACCCTCCAGGTGAAGATGGCCATGCCATAATCCCTTCTCTATTCTCCTCTTGGGATTTTGGGCACTCATGCATGCACACATCCCTGGCATGAGTTTTAAGTTGCCAGGTCCAGAATTCAAACTGTGGTTGACTACGTGGGAGTCCGGTGAAATAACCATTATGCTATCTGCTGGTCCCCTGGTTTCTGCTTTTGATGTGTGTGGTAAGGAAACCCAGGCCACATAGAGAGGCTCTGTGGAAAATTTGGAGCTCCAGCCCCAATGAAGGTCTCAACAGCCCACATCAACCACCAGGCCTGGGAACAGGTGAAACTCCAAATGGCTCTGCTCTTAGTTTTTGAGCCTGCTTGCCAAGACCCCGGCACAGGGAGCAGAGATAAGCCATCCTTCTGGGCTCTGTCCAAGTTTCTCTTTGAAAATCTGATCACACAATAAATGATTGGTACTGTCACATTTTGGGGTGGTTTCTTACATAGGCATAGTACCTGGAACACATGAACATTATTACTCATATTTTACAGGCTAAGTTGTCTAAACATGGTCATTCCACTAATTAGTAAGTGGTAGAGCCCCAAGATGTCCAGCTGGATGGCCATTTGTGGCTATTGCATTGCTAGCATGGAACTACGGCCTGGGTCTCTGTTGTAACTTGGGAGACAAAAGGAAAGGGCCACCTCTCTGGCTTTTGTTGGGAGCAAGAACAGGGATAGACCTCCAGGGGAGTCGGTGATGCTAGTCATTTTCTGCAGTGGCATAGACTAGCTGGGGCTGAGAAGACAACCCCCAAATTCCAGTGCATTACCACAGCAGAAGTAATTTTTGCTCAAATGGTATCTCCATCTTGGTCTATGGGAGGGGCTCTGCTCGTCATTGAGAGGGTTGTAATCACTTGGGGACCCAGATTGACAGAGACACAATCTTGACACATACTTCTGCCGTAATCAAAGAAGAAAGTAGAAACGATGGTGAATCATTTATTGAAACTTAAATCTTCAGCTCTGAGGTGACACATCACTTTTGTTCACATTCCATACAAATCAGGTGGCCACACCTAACTTGAATGAGCAGGTACCAGAAAAAATATTTGCAGAACTGCATGAATGCTTCCCCAGATGTACTCTTCAGCTACCAAATATTCAGCTCACTTTCTTTCCTATATATGAAATATATTCACCTTATTTTCAGGAGTGACAACCCAAGGATCCCGTTTTGTCATCAACTCAAGACCAGACTTTTGGATTTCTGGATGATGTACTCAGGTGGAAATCTGCGTTTCAAGGCTGAAGGTGGCATTTCTTCATGAACTAAGAGAAAACGTACCTGCTCCCGGCCTCTCTAGTATATAACAGGAACAGAACAACTGTAGCAGCAGCAGCGGAATGAGAAGAGAGAACAGGAAACATCTAGCAGACTCTAGTGGGTAGCAATTTTAACACTATGCCAGTTATTTGAGGGGCTTTTCTCCAGCAGAAAATTGAAATTGTCCTTCAAGGATCACCAGCAGCCAAGATAGCAGTGCACGGGAAGAGGAGGCAGGAATGAGGGCTGTGGGAATCAGCACCTGAGCATGAACACTTGAATTGGGTGGGCTGATTTCTAGCAATAAAGTGAATTTGGCTCATGTTATTATAATTTTGGTTCCAGAGTGTAAGAGGTAATATTTATTGATCACCCTTCCTGAGTGCCCAGGAATGCTTTAAAACTTGTAATCAGTCTTCCTAACAACTTCAGGACCTAGGTGCTATTTGAGCTCATCCTTTTATGGATAAGGGAAGTGATGCACAGAGCGATTATGTTGCACGCCTGAGGTCACGTAGCTAAAAAGCAGTAAGAGTGAGGTATTTGGTCCCAGGTTCCAAGGTTTTAGAGACTTAACCCCTACTATGTGTCACCTTTAAAGGGGATAGAAATGTAGATTACAATGATGTGGACAGAAAAATTAAATTTACATTTTTTCTCTGTGTACATGTATATATGTATGCATATTTCTACATGTGTGTGTATATATATATATATATATATGCATATTTTTTTCTCCCATGAGCAAGACAGAAAAATAATACCCCTAAAAGGGTTTTCACATCACAATCTACCCTCCAGCCTCAGCCAGCTTTATTTCAATGGCCACGTGT